TGTCATTTTCTATCTGGATGGATCTGGACATGCAAATTCTGATTATGAATAACTACAGGTGTGAAAGACAGTTTCCAAAAGCCAAAAAACCTGCAATCCAAAGAGACCTTAGGACAAATTTAAATGGAAATTTTCAGCAGGAATCAGAAGTTGCTGAAAAAACCTTTATTAGATATCTTCTCTTATGGCTATTTATAAAGAACATGTAGCGTAACTTCAGCAATTATGGTTTTCTAATCTTGATAGCAGTGCTGTCCAAATCAGAGGAAAGGCATGAAAAGATCCAATGGCTGGACAGCGACACAAGAATTTCAGCTAGGAGAGAAGAGACAAATCATGAACAGTTAAAAAAACCCCTAATTATTAAAATATTTTTCTAATATTTTCATTTAATTTTTGCTCTTAGAAAAATTTAAAATATTGAATATATTCTTAAAAATTAATTTTTGTTTCCTCATCCCTATCTTAAGTGACAATAAAGAATTACTGTATATCCTCCTGAGAATAATGATGGAGCAAATGGGAATATTTTATTTGAAAAATCCTTTCTGGTGTGGCAGTGTATGAAAGTACCATAATTATCAACTTGGTTATTATATTAGCAGTAAAAAAAATTATATGAACTGATTTTGAAAAAAAACCAAAACCAAACAGGAAAAAACCTCATTTTTAATTAGAATGAAGGAAACCCAATTTTTTTTCATATATTAGAAGAGAATGAAGTAATATTATATTACAATAATTTTGAATGTGTGTTTTCTTAATTTGACTTACTGGTCAAAGATCTTGTAATGCTCAGATACTGTTTGCTAACACAAACAAGGGAAATTTTGTTTACCATTTAATAATCCCAGTTGCAATTCTGTGAACGCAGCTGTCATTTGTTTCCTGGGCACTAAATCCTGACCCCAAAGATGTATCACCTTGTTCCTCTGGGAGTGGCCTGAAATCTCTCAGGACTCTTAGAGCATTGAGGCCTCTACGAGCTTTGTCAAGATTTGAAGGGATAAAGGTAAAGATGTTGGGGGTCGGTGTGAATATTTTGTAATGGCTGCATTTAAAGATTTTTTTGAAAATGACACCATAAAATTCACTATTATTTTCATTCATTTTGTTCAGGTTGTTGTCGATGCACTCCTTGGAGCTATCCCCTCAGTCTTCAGTGTTTTGCTCGTCTGTGTTGTCGTTTGGCTCCTATTTAACATTCTAGGAGTAAAATGGTTTGGGAAAAGATTTTTAAAGTGCATACTCCAGGAAGGAGATATCAGTCTCATTAATAACAAAAGTGATTGTGAGTCTCATGGTGGAAAATGGACAAATTCTCCTGTAAACTTTGATAATGTTGGGATGGGATACTTGGCTCTGCTCCAAGTGGTGAGTTCTATAAAAA